CAGGCTTGAGTGCAATGGCACCATCTCAGCTCACCACAGCCTCCACCTCCCAGGTTCAAGAGATTCTCCTGCCTCAGCCTCCCGAGTAGCTGGCATTACAGGCATGTGCCACCATGCCCAGCTAATTTTGTATGTTTAGTAGAGACAGGGTTTCTCCACATTGGTCAGTCTGGTCATGAAGCCTGCCTCTTCTACAGAATATAGCAAGGGAATGGCGCTCACCAAAGTTGTCATCAGAGGCAGGGCAGTAGAACAAAGAGGAAACTGAGTTCAGTGTGAAGACTACTGAAGCAATGACAGAGCAAAATCCAAAATGTGAATGAGCCAGCCAGCTGTCACCTGCACGCAGCCCTTAAAGCCCCAATCCTTGCCCCACCTGACTTTCACCCCTGTGCCAATGCAATGCCACTCCATCCAGCATTCATTCTGCCTCCGCTTGTAACATGAATCCCAATACTTCTAGTTCACATAATTATTCTTCTAAATCTTTCTTTAAAAGCTATAAAGTTCTATAGTCACATTTCAAGATACATCTATGTACGAATGCTTGATCCATTAATTATCTGGTGCCCTCTCTGCCCTGCAATTTCTATTCTAGCCCAGTGTTTCTCAAAGCAAGCCTCATCTGGTCAGAATCTCTGGGAGAGCTGGTTAAAAATGTAGAGTCCCAGCTTATTCCAAATCGTAGCATCAAAAGCTCTCAAGGTTGGACCAGGGGATCTATATTTTTAACACCTTCCCTTAGTAATTCTTATACACATGAAAGTCTGAGTAGTGTTATTAACTGATTCTTGGAAAACCCAGCTATAGCGATAGTGTTATAATAGATTTTACTTCAAAGCATCAGCAAAATCTTTCCTTCTCTTTGAAATGAGCTTTCTCCAAAGCAACCCCCTTTGTGATCACAACTGAAATGTCTCCCATTATCTGAAGAATAATTATCTCAGCTTGGCTTTTACGCATTCTAGAATCTACCTCAGTTATCTAAACTTTCTCCCACTGCAGAGTTTCAAAAGTATGGGCCCCATATCACTAACGAAGCTCAAAGACACCTGGAATGAACTTCTTTTCTGTATTGTAGAGCCCTGTTTATTTTAATGTGAATAAAGAAAAGTTATAACTATACTCTCCAAACCTGTGATTTCATGAATAGCAGTGCTTAAGAAAAGACTAAGTGGAAAAGAAAAGAATCCATTTTTTAACTATTAAGTAAATAAAAGCACAGGCAGTACTCAGATCAATGTCTTACATTTGGGAAACCTTGTCCTGCCCACTCCTTACCAACAGGTACACTCAGTTTCCACCCTGCTGATCCATTCTCCAACCCCTGACCACAGGACTGTCTGCCTTTATTCCTGCAGTGGTCGTGCCAGGAAGCACTGCTCTGAGGTATGCAGATACCTCTTTAAATGTAATCTACTGTTTCATGCCCAGCTCATTCATGCCTGCTTCCAAAAGCCCTCCTGAATTCTTCCAGTTCTTCCTACCCTTTTTTTTTTTTTTTTTTTTTTTTTTTTTTTTTTTTTTTTTTTTTCCAGAGACAGGATTTCGCTCTGTCACCCAGGCTGAAATATAGTGGCCTGATTGTCAGATCATAGTTTACTGCAGCCTTGAACTCCTGGGCTCAAGTTATCCTGCAACTTCGGCCTCCAGAGTAGACTACAGGCACACACCGCACCACAGGTGCAGAGTTGGCTAATTTTTAAGTTTTCTTTAGCTATGGAGTCTTACTCCGTTGCCCAGGCTGATCTTGAACTCCTGGGCTGAAACGATCCTCCCAGCAGCTCCGCCTCCCGAGTAGCTGGGACTGCAAGCGTCAGCCACGGTGCCTAGGCCACTCCCTTTTTGAACTCTTAACATACTCATGGTACCACTGGTATGGAACCTAATTGCTACTTAAGTGTCTGTATCAGGAGTGTCCAACCTTTTGGCTTCCCTGGGCCACTCTGGAAGAACTGTCTTGGGACACACATAAAATACACTACCACTAACGATAACTGATAAGCTAAAAAAAACTGCAAAAAAAAACCCTCAATGTTTTAAGAAAGTTTACGAATTTGTGTTTGGCAGTACTCAAAGACCATCCTGGGCCACTTGTGGCCCGAGGGCCATGGGTTGGACAAGCTTGATGTATATGTAAGTACTTTGTGTCATTTCCTTAGTGAAATGGAGACCCCTGAGAGTGACCCAGGACCTCATTTTCCTCTGGATTGCCCACAGTGCTAAGCTTCCCTGGTTGGACCTGAATGCAAAATAGAAGCTCCAGGAATACAAGTAAATTGAAAGTGCAGATGAATCCAGTGTTCTGCAGCAATGAGAAGCAGCTGCTTCATGCTATCCACATCCCCTTACTTCAGGCCAGTTAGCCGCACCTGAGAAGGGTGTGTCTCTTCATTCCTGCCAGGTAAGAAGTGCAGAGACCTGAGCCCAGAGGATTCTACCCAAAGGTACGATGAACCCGTGGGTTTACCCTGAATATTAAGACTGGGAAAGGCGAACTTAGCCCAGCTGCAAATTGCCTCCATTTCTAAAGGCCAGTCACCCCTGCCAATGCATCCCCACCTTCACCCTGGAGGAACCAGAGTGGCCACAGCATCCTCTAGCGAAAACAGATGAGCATTCTGAATTTGCCCCACCACTTGATTCATCCTTGAGAATTTGGGCTTCTCTATCTCAAGTTTTTTAGTTTGTCCAATACCTGCCATACCTAATTCACACTTGCCATAAGGCAAAAGAGATGAAGTTATCAAGCACAATAAAAGTGTCAAGGACACAGCACACAGATCTGCAGGGAGAACAGGCTGGGAGGCCAGATAGGCAGGCTGGGCTCCCCATCAGACAAGCCGTGGGCAAGGAGGTGAGGGCCCTACTTCCAGCCCACCTTTGCTTGTCACGTGACCCTAGCTCTCTATCTAGCTTCTCTGGAACTCAATGTCCTCGTCTGTAAAACTTGCCTGTGCACTAGATGATCTGGTCTAGAGACAAATCCAACATGAATCTGAGAACCTTAGAGGATCATAACCAAACAAGTTCCCACTGCATGCTTCACTAGGAGTGATGAAGGTGGGGACCCGTGTCCTAGAGCTCCCAGAGTTTTGGGTGTGCCCAGCAAAGCATCACCAGAGATACGAAGACACTCTCCCTCCAACCAACATCTGTTCTCTCGATAAATGCGGACCTGCTGTTCCTTGTCCCTGCTCTCTGCCCCCCTGTCCAAGCCCCTCATCTGCATACACTGCAAAAAGCCCACATCTCCTAGCTACCAGGGTCAAGTTTTTTCGGTCCCTTTCCTGTCCAAAAACAACAACTCCAAAATCACAGGTTTTCAGTGTCAAGGTCTGCCTCTGAAATAAGTTACCCCTTCCGCTCCCCCTCTCATATGCACTGCTTCCCTGAGGAAAGGGCCCAAAGGCCATGCATGGAAAGGAAATGGGGAATGAGTGGGAGCTCTGCTGTGGAGGCTTAGGGAAGCAGAGATGAGGGACATCTGTGAAGTAGAATGGAATGCCATGGAGTTCCTTGGGATTCCATAAAGGTTTGCCTGCTTTCCAAAGTGCAAACCACAAATCTAGAGTTCTACGCATGTGGCTTGTTGGAGCTTCACTGTGAGACCGTAACCATGGTTTCAGGCAGACTACATCACAGCCATGAGCATAAAAACAAAAGGCTCTCTCCTATTTCTCCCTAAAACTCCGTGTCCTTGAAAAAAATATGTAAGTTGATATGCCAAAGTGATTCATGTGCAACTTCTGACCTCTAGGAGATCCATGAAGTTATCTGGTTTTCAATAAAAAGCAATTGCTCTATACCACTTTTGAGGCTTAGAGAGATCTCTCACTTTTTGTGTAGACCAAAGAACCCTGAAAACATATACATCCAGAGGAACACTTGTACTTACTCTTGGTGGGAACATGTCACAAACCTGAAAACACAGAAATCCATGTCCTAAATTAACACCTTCCTTTCAAGAAGAGAAAAAAAACAAAACAAAACAAAAACAAAAACAAAAACAAACAAACAAAAAAAAAAACAACGAAGATTTGCTTCTCTCTGTCCAAGTGCCAAGGTTGGATGCATTTGGTTTATAGTACATTGAGACAAGGCCTATTTCCAAATCCTTAATAGTTTAACAATGAAATCAATTAACAATTTACTTAATCTCAGACTCAGAAATCGTCTTTTATTGCGCAGTATCTTGACAATCAAAACAGAGAAACAATATAACTTTAAATAAGATTCAAAGCACTGACTTCCAATTACCCACAAGCAGAACCCCTCTTCAAATGCAACATTCATCCTGCATGGATGGGGCAATGAATTGGACAAAACAAGCTCGGCTGATGTTTCTGGGACCGTAGAGGGGACATCCTGGAGGAGGACACTTTTTTTCTACTTGTATGTCAGATGATGAGCTAACCGCCATGCAGAAGCATACAAACACACCAGCTTCCTCCGGGAGGGAAAAATAAAGCAACTCCTCACTCGGCTAAGCAGGACAAAGCCAGGACGTGCAAGAAGGCTTCAGTCAAAGGCTCCACGTGCCTTTCCAAGGACGGAGGGACCCACCCACACACAATCACACACAGCCAGCCCACCACGCGCCTGCGGAAGAAAGCCGGGTCCTCGGCCAACCTTCAGCACCAGCGGCCCAGGCTCTCCCAGTTTGGAAACCTCCCGCAGCACCACCATCTGGAGGGCACAGAGGGGGCAGAGGGCCACATCCTCTTTCCAAGTCTCATCTTCCTCGTCAATGCCTGTTTCTCCCCAACTACGAAGTGAAGTGTACCTCCCCAAGGAAACTGAGACCTACAGGCATACACACCCCCCAGTCGTCACGGAGTCCCGGAGCCCTACGATCAAGGCCAGCGAATCTTTCCGCGGGACCCCACAACCGGGTTACCGGACCGACGGAGAGGCCCCGGACTCACCCAGTCCTCGAAGTGGCGGCTCCCGTTCTGCAGCAGCTCCTCAAACTGGATGGTGCAGTTGGCCACGAAGTCGTCGTAGCCGATGGGGGCATCGTGAAAGACAGCCAACTCGATCTTGCGCCCGTTGCACACATCAGTGACGAACTCGTCGTGCCAGGCCGGGCTGTTGGTCTTCTGCTTGGTGGCCGTTTGGCCGATGCGCGAGTCGTCCACATTGAGAGCAATGTAGGGGTCGAGAAGGAAAGTCTGTGGCCGGGGTCCCACCGCATGGCGCAGCGACCAGGCTGTGGGCTTCAAGCTCACGGCCTCGCAGATTTTGATCTTAAGAAGGCCATTGAACACTACCATGGTCGGGGCGGGGAGTGGGGGCCGGGGTCACTCCGTCTGCCCCGAGGGCAGGAATGAAGAACCGACGGCCCGGCGCTCCGAGCCACGGGGACTCTTGGGTCCCCTTTCGCCCCACCCCACACACTCCCTACACCTTGTGGCGCTGCGCCCTGCCGCGGGCGATTCTCAGCCAGTGCATGTATTTCCTCGCCGGGTTCCTAACGGAAAACAGGGAGGGGGGAGAGCTGGGGGACGTCCGTGCTTGGAGCAAGTCTCTCCCCCCGACCACCAGCTGCACCTCCAGAAGAGAAGACGAGCTGTCGGCTCTGCTGCAAGCCGCGGGGGCTGCCTGGCTGCCTCGCTGGCTCTCCGGCTCCGGGCTGCGGGAAATCGGGCGCCGCGCCCGGCGCTTACCTACCTTTCCGAAACATAATCCCGGGAAATTTCGACTCCGGGAGGGGGATGGGGCGGTGGGACGGGGCGGAGACGAGAACCGGGGGCGCAGATTTCAACCCGGATCCTCTTCGCACACCCAGCGCCTGCTTCTGACCGCACGGGGCGGGGGGTGGACCGAGGGATGTTCAGTCTATCCGGAGGGATGCATGTCGAGAGGAAATGGTCCTCCTCGGAGCCAAATTTTTAAAAATCCACAAGCCCCACGGCCAGCCGGGGCCGCCGCCTCCTGGGCGAAGCAGCGCCACGCCAGAGCCGGCGATCGGGAGGCGCCAGGAGCCCGGAATCTCACATCCGCGCGGGCTCGGGAGTCCGGGCGGCAGCCGATCCGGCTCGGGGCGCAGGCCGGCACCGGGCGGTGCGCAGCGCGGCGGCGGGGCCGGGACTGCGACTCGGCGCGGCCCCACCTCCTGGGCGCCGGCGCCCGCCCGCCGCGCTCCCCGCGTCCCCGCTCTCAGCTGCCGCTCACTCGCCGCCCGCCAGTCCGCGCTCCCCCGCGGTCTCCTCTCCCTCCGTCGGTGTGCGAGCGAGTCTCCCTCCCTCTAATGCAGGAAATGCGCAAAAGACGTCAGTGTGTGTGAGTGTGTGCGAGTGCGTGTGTGTGTGTGTGCACGCGCGCGCGCGCACGGCAGTGTTTGGGGAAATAGAAAGTTTTGCCGGTTGGGGGAGCAATACGGAAAAAGTGAGCCGAGGAGAGAACGGCGGAGAGCGGGCGAGGCTGCCCGGGTCGCGGCGGCGGGCGGGGGAGCCGGGCGGGGACCCCGCGCAGGACCTGGGGGAGCGGCGGCGCTGGGCTGGGTGCGCGTGGCGCGGGCGGTGGATGGGTCTCCTTTGGTCCCCACCGGGAGGCCCCGGGCTGCGCATCTCTCGGGAACCCTGCGGCCAACGCAGTCTTTTAGAGCCCGGGATGGGGGAGTGGAGGGGACCAGGTTGCCCCAAAGGCCCTCGGACCCTACTCCTGCCCACCCCAACTCGGGCGGCGGCGGACAGAAGCAGCCTGCGGAGTTCTGGCCCTTCTGTCACTCAGTCCCGGGACGCTGTGATCCGCTGCGGTGGGGGTGGGGGGTTGGGAGGGACGAGTCTGGCTCGGGTGAGGTTTTAAACTCGATTCTTTTCTCTTGCCTTTCTTTGGCGGGGCATTCTCCCCTTTGGGATCTGTCCTGGACTTAGCAGGCTGTGAGAACTTGTTGACAAGTGAAAGCTCGGTAGAGCGCCGGTTTGGTTTGCGGTCTGTTTATTTTTTTGCAAAGTGACTGTTCCTATTTACGCTGGACCTTATCGGTGCCCCTTTGGGGGACTTCGGCTCCGATCAGCGCGCTGGCAGCTGCCGTCCGGGCTGCGGGGAAATGGGGCGCGCCCTCCGGGGGGCGAGCGGCTCCATCCATGCTAATTTCCTCTGTAACCTTTAAACTCTCGCTGGAAGCCGCCGCCGCGGCTGGTCACGTGAGGCGAGCCCTGGGCTGCTTGGGAAGAATTTCTTCGGCGGGAGCCGGGACGGGGCCGGCGGTCGGCGAGGGACTGCCCCGCGCCGGGGACTGGAAACCTGGGAGGGAAGGGCCGGGAGCATGGGGCCCAGGGGCGCGGCCCAGCTGGGGCCCCCGCGAAGACCGCGCGGGGAAGAGGTCGGCTCTGCAGCCGGGGAGCTGGGGCTTATGCAAGTGAGGAAAGAAAACCTCCGCCCTCGCCCGTGTGCCAAGTCAAGTCTGGGAATTTGTAGGTATTGTGGTAAGCTGAGTGTTCATCTGGCGGGTCTGGTTTGTGTAAACCAAAATTTAAAACGCGCCTCCCAATCACTTTTTCCTCAGTGGATAAAGGTTATCATTGCCTGCAGCTTAAAAGCTTAAAAAGGCCTAAAGGCGAGGAAGGAGGCAGCCCCTAGAAAAACAGGATATGCAGTGCAGCAAACAGGTCCCCAAAATGATCAGAAAAGCCCCTCGGCCATCTCCTAAGGACAGGCAGTTGCTCTGGAGCTTCCTAATACAGTAATTTCTCGCAGCCTGCCCTGTTGAATGGGGCAGCTGGATAGAGATGGTGTTAAGATTCGGTCCTCCGTACGATCTAGGTAGCTCCCATGTAAAGAGCCAGGGCTTCAACTGTTGTCTTACCCTGCCACTCCCCCAGCTGGAGGTATGATGTCTTAAAATATGTCTGTTTGACAAAGCACAAGAAGGGGCTTCTCATTACTGTTTAATTTTTGTTTCTTTGATTATTACTTTTTTCCCTTTTGCTTCTTCCTTCCATCCTGCAATTCTCATGAAGCCCCTTTCCCCCCTCCCAGCGCATGTGATGCAAGGCAGTGGCAAATAGGGCTTGATCTTCTGAAAATGCTTTTGGGAAGCAGAGCTGGCACCAAAGTGAGATGAATGGGATACTTTTCAGAGGCCAAATGTAAAGGGTACAATAAACATAATCAAGATAAAGATTTTAATACAATTTTAAAAAAATAAAAAGTGTGAGATTCCAGAATGGACACAATATCTTAAAACTATTTAATATTAATTAAAATACTTTAAATATTGCACTAAGATATTTATATTACTGAGTTTATTGGCACCCCTTAAATTTTATACCTGAGCCGAGTGCTTCACTCATCTCACTCTAGTCCTGATCCTTTTGGGAAGTCTAGAAAGTCAAGGATTTCATGGTGTTAGGGATCTTTGACTAATTGGTGCTTCATACCTTCTCACTGCTTGCTTTGAGTGGGTCCTGTCTCACATGCAAACAGAAACACATGGGCTTGGAAAACATTGACCTAAGTCACTCCTCTTTAGTATGTTAAATAGGAAATAAGTTTAGCATTAATGACACGCTGAACTTGAACTTTTTGCATATCATATTCTCACTCTCCCTTTCCCAGACAAGACCCTGAAAAAATATATAGTGTATATGTGGTTTTGTTATTTATTTATTTGAGACAAGGTCTCATACTGTTGCCCAGGCTGGGAGTTCAGTGGCACAATCACAGCTCACTTTAATCTTGACCTCCAAGGCTCAAGCCATCCTCCGACCTCTCAGCCTCCGAAGTTGCTGGGACTATCGGTAGGTACCACCACACCAAGCTAATTTTTTTGTTGTTGTTCCTTTCGTAGAGACAGGGTTTTGCCATGTTGCCTAGACTGGTCTCAAATTCCTGGGCTCAAGTGATCTGCCTGCCTCAGCGTCCCAAAGTGTTGGTATTACAGGCATGAGCCACCATGCTGAGCCCCCAAATATATTAAATAGAATCTGTTACTATCTCAGTGACTATCTTAAATAACCTACAAACTTCCAGCATCATTTCCTGGCATCCTGGGTGAAGTTATAGGAAGGCAGCTTCTGCCTCTCAGCTGACTGTTACTCCGTGTAAATTACCAGACTGCAATTCTCAGAGGCGAACAATGCCTGTGTCCTTTCCATTACAGCAACTCTTTCAGAGCAGTGGTAATAAAAGACTTCGTCAAACAAAATACGGGTTTTGTATTGGGTTAATGTTTACATAAAAAGGGAGAATGCTGGTACCTATTACCTCCTTATTTCTAAATAATATTATCTCTTGCCTTCCTACTCTCAAACATGGCCAAATGAAAATATGTATTCCCCAGGGGCATCATGGAGATGCCAGATGTGAGCTGCTCTGAGGGAAAACCTTTAAATTTTTCTGGAGAGGCAGGTCTAAAATAACCCCATGCTCCAGGTTTCATCTGAAAAGAAAAGCCCAAAGAGGGGGCTTAGAAGGTAAAATTCCAATCAGAAATTATTACTGGCTTCATCCTTTCCTCGGCTGCCATCTCCAATCCCAAAGGGTAAGACCATGGTGAGCATATACACTGAGTAAAATGTCCTTTGGCTTTCAACTATGGCCAAGTCATTCATAAACTTTGTGAGAAGGAAGAAAATGATATAAGAATTCAACGATGACCAAAATGGACCCTTTCTCCTTTCAAAATTAAGGCTTATGAGGAAAGAATAGAACAGCAAGTGTGCCCAGGGCAGTATGATCAGCATTGCAGTAGATCGAAGGTTTAGAGTGGCACCGAAGAAGGATCACCTCTTTGCCTGGGGAGCTTGGAAAGGCATCAACCTGCAGAATCCTTTGAGCCGAGTCTAGGCTTTCCAACAGGAGTTCTTCTAGCAGCAAAGAGGAAAACAGCTAAGAGTTTAGCATGTACGGGTGGGAAAGCCCTGGCTATTCAGGGAAGCAGACAGGTGTGCCCTGCTTGTGGCAGGTAGTAACAGAAGATAAAGTAAGTAGGAACCTGATAATGCGGCCTCGTAGGGCCTGCAGATGGGTCTGAACCTTTTCCTGGAGAAACACAGAACATTACAGCGGCCAAGCAGCATAACTAGAGTTAATATTTCATAAAAGCAGTTTTGCGATGGACAAATATTTTTCTCTTCTGTAATTTTCTCCCTGAAGGCTCACCTCAAAACAGGGTATGAGAGAGAGAGAAGATCCAAGTCTAAAGGTGATTTATACGCTGTATAATCAACATTGAAACTGTCTGTGGATATTGTTTAGATCAGCTGGAGGAAGCAGGGAAGGGGGAGCCAGAACCGCAGACTAGCATGTTAATATTCATGCCCCTGTTGCTGTGCCGGTTGTTGCCATTTATAGAATGTTAATGGGTTTCTGCAAAGGTCTGCCTGGTCAGGGTGTATCGGACATTCCACACATGCTCTGCTGAACAGAATCCAACCACCTGGGCCATGGGATGGAACGCACAGCAGTACAATGACACAGAAACCTTCCAGAGCTCTGCTGGCCCTGCCCCAGCCTAGCCCCTACCCAACCCTGAGCCCCA